CCTCCTACGCCCTTGCTGGCTTGGCAATAGGACCAGACAAGCAAGCCACGTGAACCAACGGAAGAAAAAACGCTCGGGAACGAGCGTCTCCCCCCCCAAAACGCGGAAGGATCCCCACATGTGCACGAAGTGCAGCGGACGCTCTTCATTCGCGAGCGCCGATGACCAATGATGGTCCCAACCCTCCTACGCCCTTGCTGGCTTGGCAATAGGACCAGACAAGCAGAGCCACGTGAACCAACGGAATAAAAACGCTTGGAACGAGCGTCTCCACCCCCAAAACGCGGAAGGATTCGCACATGTGCAGGAAGTGCAGGCGGCCGCTCTTCATTCGCGAGCGCCGATGACCGATGATGCTCGCAACCCTCCCACGCCCTTGCTGGCTTGGCAAGAGGACCGGACAAGAGCGCAGCCACGTGACTTGGCGGAAGAAAAAACGCTTGGAATGAGCGCTTCTACCCCCAAAATGCTGGAGAATCTGCATTCGTGCAGGAAGTGCACCGGGCGCTCTTCATTCGCGGAGCGCCGATGACCGATGATGCTCGCAACCCTCCCACGCCCTTGCTGGCTTGGCAATAGGACCAGACAAGCGCAACCATTTGACCCGGCGGAAGAAAACGCTCGGAACGAGCGCTAGGATCCTTACATGTGCACGAAAGTGTAGCGTGCGCTCTTCATTCGCAGAGTGCCGATGACCGATGATGCTCGCAAACCCTCCCACTCCCTTGCTGGCTTGGCAAGAGGACCAGACAAGCACAGGCCACGTGACCCGGCGGAAGAAAAATGCTCGAAACGAGCGCCTCGACCCCCAAAACGTGGAAGGATCCGCACATGTGCAGGAAGTGCAGGGGGCGCTCTTCATTCGCAAGCGCCGATGACCGATCATGCTTGCAACCCTCCCACGCCCTTGCTGGGCTGGGCATGAGGACCAGACAAGCGCAGCCACGTGACCCGGCGGAAGAAAAACGCTCGGAACGAGCGCTTCCGCCCCCAAAACGCGGAAGGATACGCACGCGTGCAGGAAGTGCAGGCGGGCGCTCTTGATTCGCGAGCGTCGATGACCGATGATGCTCGCAAACCCTCCCACGCCCTTTCTGGCTTGCAATAGGACCAGACAAGCGCAGCTACGTGAACCCGGCGGAAGAAATACGCTCGGGAACGAGTGCTTTCACCACCAAAACGCGGAAAGATCCGCACACGTGCAGGAAGTGCAGCGGGCGCTCTGCATTCGCGAGCGCCGATGAGTGATGATGCTCACAACCCTCCTGCGCCCTTGCTTGCTTGGCAATAGGACCAGACAAGCGCAGCTACGTGACCCGGCGGAAGAAAACGCTCGGAACGAGCGCTTCACCCCCAAAACGCGGAAGGATCCGCACACGTGAAGGAAGTGCAGCGGGCTGCTCTTCATTCGCGAGCGCCGATGACCGATGATGCTCGCAACCCTCCCACGCCCTTGCTGGCTTGGCAATAGGACCAGACAAGCGCAGCCACGTGACCCGGCGGAAGAAAAACGCTCGGAACGAGCGCTTCCACCCCCAAAACGCGGAAGGATCCACACATGTGGCAGGAAGTGCAGCGGGCGCTCTTCATTCGCGAGGTGCCGATGACCGATGATGCTCGCAACCCTCCCGCGCCCTTGCTGGCTGGCAATAGGACCAGACAAGCGCAGCCACGTGACCTGGTTGAAGAAAAACGCTCGTAACGAGCGCTAGTACCCCCAAAACGCGTAAGGACCCGCACATGTGCAGGAAGTGCAGCGGGCGCTCTTCATTTCGCGAGCGCCGATGACCGACTGATGCTCGCAACCCTCCATGTACTTGCTGGCTTGGCAAGAGGACCAGACAAGCACAGCCACGTGACCCGGCGGAAGAAAATTTCTCGAAAAGAACGCTTTCATCCCCAAAACGCGGAAGTATTCGCACACGTGCAGGAAGTGCAGCTGGCGCTCTTCATTCGCGAGCGCCGATGACCGATGATGCTTGCAACCCTCCCACGCCCTTGCTGGCTTGGCAAGAGGACCAGACAAGCGCAGCCACGTGACTTGGCAGAGAAAAAAACGCTTGGAATGAGCGCTTCTACCCCCAAAATGCCGAAGGATCCGCATTCGTGCAGGAAGTGCAGCGGTCGCTCTTCATTCGCGGAGCGCCGATGACCGATGATGCTTGCAACCCTCCCACGCCCTTGCTGGCTTGGCAATAGGACCAGACAAGCGCAGCCACGTGACCTGGTTAAAGAAAAACGCTCGGAACGAGCGCTAGTACCCCCCAAAACGCGTAAGGACCCGCACATGTGCAGGAAGTGCAGCGGGCGCTCTTCATTCGCGAGGCGCCGATGACCGATGCTGCTCGCAACCCTCCCATGTCCTTGCTGGCTTGGCAAGAGGACCAGACAAGCGCAGCCACGTGACTCGGCGGAAGAAAAAACGCTCGGAACGAGCGCTTTTACCCCCAAAGCGCGGAAGGTTCCGCACACGTGCAGGAAGTGCAGCGGGCGCTCTTCATTCGCGAGCGCCGAAGAGCGACGATGCTCGCAAACCCTCCCACGCCCTTGCTGGCTTGGCAAGAGGACCAGACAAGCGCAGCCACGTGACTTGGCGGAAGCAAAACGCCTGGAATGAGCGCTTCTACCCCCAAAATGCTGAAGGATCCGCATTCGTGCAGGAAGTGCAGCGGGCGCTCTTCATTTGCGAGCGCCAATGACCGATGATGCTCGCAACCCTCCCACGCCCTTGCTAGCTTGGCAATATGACCAGACAAGCGCAGCTACGTGATCCGGTGGAAGAAAAACGCTCGGAAAGAGTGCTTTCACCACTAAAATACGGAAGGATCCGCACACGTGCAGGAAGTGCAGCGGGCGCTCTTCATTCGCGAGCGCCGATGATCGATGATGCTCGCAACCCTCCCACGCCCTTGCTGGCTTGGCAATAAGACCAGACAAGCGCAACCACTTGACCCGGCGGAAGAAAAACGCTCGGAACGAGCGCTAGGATCCTTACATGTGCACGAAGTGTAGGTTGCGCTCTTCATTCGCAGAGCGCCGATGACCGATGATGCTCGCAACCCACGCCCTTGCTGGCTTGGCAAAAGGACCAGACAAGCACAGCCACGTGACCCGGCGGAAGAACAATGCTCGAAACGAGCGCCTCCACCCCTGAAACGCGGAAGGATCCGCACATGTGCAGGAAGTGCAGGGGGCGCTCTTCATTCGCGAGCGCCGATGACCGATGATGCTCGCAACCCTCCCACGCTCTTGCTGGCTTGGCAAGGGGACCAGACAAGCGCATCCTCGTGACCCGGTGGAAGAAAAACACTCGGAACGAGCGCTAGTACCCCCAAAACGCGGAAGGGATCGGCACATGTGCACGAAGTGCAGCGGACGCTCTTCATTCGCTGAGCGCCGATGACCAATGCTGGTCCCAACCCTCCTACGCCCTTGCTGGCTTGGCAATAGGACCAGACAAGCACAGCCACGTGAACCAACGGAAGAAAAACGCTCGGAACGAGCGTCTCCACCCCAAAACGCGGAAGGATCCCCACATGTGCACCGAAGTGCAGCGGACGCTCTTCATTCGCGAGCGCCGATGACCAATGATGGTCCCAACCCTCCTACGCCCTTGCTGGCTTGGCAATAGGACCAGACAAGCAGAGCCACGTGAACCAACGGAATAAAAACGCTTGGAACGAGCGTCTCCACCCCCAAAACGCGGGAAGGATTCGCACATGTGCAGGAAGTTGCAGCGGCCGCTCTTCATTCGCGAGCGCCGATGACCGATGATGCTCGCAACCCTCCCACGCCCTTGCTGGCTTGGCAAGAGGACCGGACAAGCGCAGCCACGTGACTTGGCGGAAGAAAAACGCTTGGAATGAGCGCTTCTACCCCCAAAATGCTGGAGAATCTGCATTCGTGCAGGAAGTGCACCGGGCGCTCTTCATTCGCGAGCGCCGATGACCGATGATGCTCGCAAACCCTCCCACGCCCTTGCTGGCTTGGCAATAGGACCAGACAAGCGCAACCATTTGACCCGGCGGAAGAAAACGCTCGGAACGAGCGCTAGGATCCTTACATGTGCACGAAGTGTAGCGTGCGCTCTTCATTCGCGAGTGCCGATGACCGATGATGCTCGCAACCCTCCCACTCCCTTGCTGGCTTGGCAAGAGGGACCAGACAAGCACAGCCACGTGACCCGGCGGAAGAAAAATGCTCGAAACGAGCGCCTCGACCCCCAAAACGTGGAAGGATCCGCACATGTGCAGGAAGTGCAGGGGGCGCTCTTCATTCGCAAGCGCCGATGACCGATCATGCTTGCAACCCTCCCACGCCCTTGCTGGCTGGGCATGAGGACCAGACAAGCGCAGCCAACGTGACCCGGCGGAAGAAAAACGCTCGGAAACGAGCGCTTCCGCCCCCAAAACGCGGAAGGATACGCACGCGTGCAGGAAGTGCAGCGGGCGCTCTTGATTCGCGAGCGTCGATGACCGATGATGCTCGCAACCCTCCCACGCCCTTTCTGGCTTGCAATAGGACCAGACAAGCGCAGCTACGTGACCCGGCGGAAGAAATACGCTCGGAACGAGTGCTTTCACCACCAAAACGCGGAAAGATCCGCACACGTGCAGGAAGTGCAGCGGGCGCTCTTCATTCGCGAGCGCCGATGAGTGATGATGCTCACAACCCTCCTGCGCCCTTGCTTGCTTGGCAATAGGACCAGACAAGCGCAGCTACGTGACCCCGGCGGAAGAAAAACGCTCGGAACGAGCGCTTTCACCCCCCAAAACGCGGAAGGATCCGCACACGTGAAGGAAGTGCAGCGGGCGCTCTTCATTCGCGAGCGCCGATGACCGATGATGCTCGCAACCCTCCCACGCCCCTTGCTGGCTTGGCAATAGGACCAGACAAGCGCAGCCACGTGACCCGGCGGAAGAAAAACGCTCGGAACGAGCGCTTCCACCCCCAAAACGCGGAAGGATCCACACATGTGCAGGAAGTGCAGCGGGCGCTCTTCATTCGCGAGTGCCGATGACCGATGATGCTCGCAACCCTCCCGCGCCCTTGCTGGCTTGGCAATAGGACCAGACAAGCGCAGCCACGTGACCCGGCGGAAAAAAAACGCTTGGAATGAGCGCTTCTACCCCCAAAACGCAGTAGGATCCACACATGTGCACGAAGTGCAGCGGGCGCTCTTCATCGCGAGCGCCGATGACCGATGATGCTCGCAACCCTCCCACGCCCTTGCTGGCTTGGCCGGGGAGAGCATCGCGACGCTCCGGGGCGTCCGAGGAGAGCATCGTGACGCTCTGGGGCGTCCAGGGAGAGCATCGCGACCCTCTGGGGCGTCCGGGGAGAACATCGCGACGCTCCGGGGCGGCTGGGGAGAGCATCGCGACGCTCCGGGGCGGCTTGGGAGAGCATCCCGACGCTCTGGGGCGTCCGGGGAGAGCATCGTGACGCTCTGGGGCGTCCGGGGAGAGCATCGCGACGCTCCGGGGGCGTCTGGGGAGAGCATCACGATGCTCCGGGGCGTCCGGGGAGAGCATCGCGACGCTCTGGGGGCGTACGGGGAGAGCATCAGCAACGCTCCGGGGCGGCTGGGGAGAGCATCGCGACGCTCCGGGGCATCCGGGGAGAGCATCACGACGCTCCGGGGCGTCCGAGGAGAGCATCGCGACGCTCTGGGGCGTCCGGGGAGAGCATCGCGACGCTCTGGGGCGTCCGGGGAGAGCATCGCGACGCTCCGGGGCGGCTGGGGAGAGAATCGCGACGCTCCGGGGCGTCCGGGGAGAGCATCGCGACGCTCTGGGGCGTCCGGGGAGAGCATCGCGACGCTTCGGGGCCGGCCGAGGAGAGTATCGCGATGCTCTAGGGCGTCCGGGGAGAGCATTGCGACGCTTTGGGGCGTCCGCGGAGAGCATCGCGATGCTCCGGGGCGGCTGGGGAGAGCATCCCGACGCTCTAAGGCGTCCGGAGAGAGCATCACGACGCTTTGGGGCGGCCAAAGAGAGCATCGCGACGCTCCACGGCGTTCGGGGAGAGCATCGCGACGCTCCGGGGCGGCCGGAGAGAGCATCGCGACACTCTGGGGCGTCCGGGGAGAGCATAGCGACGCTCTGGGGCGTCCGGGGAGAGCATCGCGACGCTTCGGGGCGGCTGGGGAGAGCATCGTGATGCTCTGGGGCGTCCGGGTAGAGCATCACGACGCTCTGGGGGCGTCCAGGGAGAGCATCGCGACGCTCCGGAGCGGCTGGGGAGAGCATCGCGATGCTCTGGGGCGTCCGAAGAGAGCATCGCGACGCTCTGGGGCGTCCAGGGAGAGCATCCCGACGCTCTGGGGCGTCCGGGGAGAGCATCGCTACGCTCTGGGGCGGCCAGGGAGAGAATCTCGACGCTCCGGGGCGTCCGGGGAGAGCATCGCAACGCTCCGGGGCGTCCAGGGAGAGAATCGCGACGCTCCGGGGCGGCCAGGGAGAGCATCGCAACGCTCTGGGGCGTCCGGGGAGGGCATCGCGACGCTCTGGGGCGTCCGGGGAGAGCATCACGACGCTCCGGGGCAGCTGGGGAGAGCATCGCGACGCTCAGGGGCAGCTGGGGAGAGCATCGCGACGCTCTGGGGCGTCCGGGGAGAGCATCGCGACGATCTGGGGCGTTCGGGGAGAGCATCGCGACGCTCCGGGGCAGCTGGGGAGAGCATCGCGACGCTCTGGGGCGTCCGGGGAGAGCATCGCGACGCTCCGAGGCGGCTGGGGAGAGGCATCCCGACGCTCTGGGGCGTCAGGGGAGAGCATCGCGGCGCTCTGGGGGCGTCCAGGGAGGAGCATCGCGACGCTCTGGGGGCGTCCGGGGAGAGCATCGCGACGCTTCGGGGCGGCCGAGGAGAGCATCGCGATGCTCTAGGGCGTCCGGGGAGAGCATTGCGACGCTTTGGGGCGTCCGGGGAGAGCATCGCGATGCTCTGGGGCGGCTGGGAAGAGCATCCCGCCGCTCTCAGGACGGCGTCCGGAGAGAGCATCGCGACGCTTTGGGGCGGCCAAAGAGAGCATCGCGACGCTCCACGGCGTTCGGGAAGAGCATCACGACGCTCCGAGGCGGCCGGAGAGAGCATCGCGACACTCTGGGGCGGTCCGGGGAGAGCATCGCGACGCTCTGGGGCGTCCGGGAGAGCATCGCGACGCTTTCGGGGCGGCTGGGGAGAGCATCGTGATGCTCTGGGGGCGTCCGGGTAGAGCATCACGACGCTCTGGGGCGTCCCGGGGAGAGCATCGCGACGCTCCAGGGCGGCTGGGGAGAGCATCGCGATGCTTTGGGGCGTCCGGGGAGAGCATCGCGACGCTCTGGGGCGTCCAGGGGAGAGCATCGCGACGCTCTGGGGCGTCCGGGGGAGAGCATCGCGATGCTCTGGGGGCGTCCGGGGAGAGCATCGCGACACTCTGGGGCGTCCGGGTAGAGCATCGCAACGCTCCGGGGCGGCTGGGAGAGCATCGCGACCCTCTGGGGGCGTCCGGGGAGAGCATCGCGACGCTCTGGGGCGGCCAAAGAGAGCATCGCGACGCTCCGGGATGCTCTGGAAAGCGGGAGAATGGGGCGGGGTGATGGAAAGCGGGAGAGTGGGGCGGGGGTAATGGAAAGTGGGAGAATGAGTTGGGGTGATGGAAAGCGGGAGAATGGGGCGGGGGTGATGGAAAGCGGGAGAAATGGGGCGGGGTGATGGAAGGAGGGAGAATGGGGCGGGGTGATGGAAAGCGGGAGAATGGGGCGGGGTGATGGAAAGCGGGAGAATGGGGCGGGGTGATGGAAAGCGGGAGAATGAGGCGAGGTGATGGAAAGCGTGAGAATGGGGCGGGGTGATGGGAAAGCGGGAGAATGGGCCGGGGTGATGGAAGGAGGGAGAATGGGGCGGGGTGATGGAAAGCGGGAGAATGGGGCGGGGTGATGGAAAGCGGGGGAATGGGGCGGGGTGAATGGAAGGAGGGGAGAATGGGGCGGGGTGATGGAAAGCGGGAGAATGGGGCAGGGTGATGGAAAGCGGGAGAATGGGGCGGGGTGATGGAAGGAGGGAGAATGGGGCGGGGTGATGGAAAGCGGGAGAAATGGGGCCGGGTGATGGAAAGCGGGAGAATGGGGCGGGGTGATGGAAAGCGGGAGAATGGGGCGGGGTGATGGAAAGCGGGAGAATGGGGCGGGGTGATGGAAAGCGGGAGAATGGCGCGGGGTGATGGAAGGAGGGAGAATGGGGCGGGGTGATGGAAGCTCGAGAATGGCGCGGGGTGATGGAAGGAGGGAGAATGGGGCGGGGTGATGGAAAGCGGGAGAATGGGGCGGGGTGATGGAAAGCGGGAGAATGGGGCGGGGTGATGGACAGAGGGAGAATGGGGCGGGGTGATGGAAAGCGGGAGAATGGGGCGGGGTGATGGAAAGCGGGAGAATGGGGCGAGGTGATGGAATGCGGGAGAATGGGGCGGGGTGATGGAAGGAGGGAGAATGGGGCGGGGTGATGGGAGTAGGGGGAATGGGGCGGGGTGATGGAAGGAGGGAGAATGGGGCATGGTGATGGAAAGCGGGAGAATGGGGCGGGGTGATGGAAAGCGGGAGAATGGGGCGGGGTGATGGAAAACCGGGAGAAAGGGGGGCGGGGTGATGGAAAGCGGGAGAATGAGGCGGGGTGATGGAAAGCGGGAGAATGGGGCGGGGTGATGGAAAGCGGGAGAATGGGGCGGGGTGATGGAAAGCGGGAGAATGGGGCGGGGTGATGGAAAGAGAAAGAATGGGGCGGGGTGATGGAAAGCAGGAGAATGGGGCGGGGTGATGGAAGGAGGGAGAATGGGGCGGGGTGATGGAAGGCGGGGAATGGGGGCGGGGTGATGGAAAGCGGGAGAATGGGGCGGGGTGATGGAAAGCGGGAGAATGGGGCGGGGTGATGGAAGGAGGGAGAATGGGGCGGGGTGATGGAATGCGGGAGAATGGTGCGGGGTGATGGAAAGAGGGAGAATGGGGCGGGGTGATGGAAAGCGGGAGAATGGGGCGAGGTGATGGAATGCAGGAGAATGGGGCGGGGTGATGGAAGGAGGGAGAATGGGGCGGAGTGATGGAAGGAGGGGGGAATGGGGTGGGGTGATGGAAAGCGGGAGAATGGGGCGGGGTGATGGAAAGCGGGAGAATGGGGCGGGGTGATGGAAAAGCGGGAGAATGGGGCGGGGTGATGGAAAGCGGGAGAATGGGGCGGGGTGATGGAAAGCGGGAGAATGGGGCGAGGTGATGGAATGCGGGAGAATGGGGCGGGGTGATGGAAGGAGGGAGAATGGGGCGGGGTGATGGGAGTAGGGGGAATGGGGCGGGGTGATGGAAGGAGGGAGAAATGGGGCGGGGTGATGGAATGCGGGAGAATGGTTGCGGGGTGATGGAAAGGAGGGAGAATGGGGGCGGGGTGATGGAAAGCGGGAGAATGGGGCGAGGTGATGGAATGCGGGAGAATGGGGCGGGGTGATGGAAGGAGGGAGAATGGGGCGGGGTGATGGGAGTAGGGGGAATGGGGCGGGGTGATGGAAGGAGGGAGTATGAGGCATGGTGATGGAAAGCGGGAGAATGGGGCGGGGAGATGGAAAGCGGGAGAATGGGGCGGGGTGATGGAAAGCGGGAGAAATGGGGCGGGGTGATGGAAAGCGGGAGAATGGGGGCGGGGTGATGGAAAGAGGGAGAATGGGGCGGGGTGATGGAAGGGAGGGAGAATGGGGCGGGGTGATGGACAGCGGGAGAATGGGGCGGGGTGATGGAAAAGCGGGAGAGATGGGGCGGGGTGATGGAAGGAGGGAGAATGGGGCGAGGTGATGGAAAGCGGGAGAACGGGGCGGGGTGATGCAAAGCGGGAGAATGGGGTGGGGTGATGGAAAAGCGGGAGAATGGGGCGGGGTGATGGAAAGCGGGAGAATGGGGTGGGGTGATGGAAAAGAGGGAGAATGGGCGGGGTGATGGAAAGCGGGAGAATGGGGCGGGGTGATGGAAAGCGGGAGAATGGGGCGGGGTGATGGACAGAGGGAGAATGGGGCGGGGTGGATGAAAAGCGGGAGAATGGGGCGGGGTGATGGAAAGCGGGAGAATGGGGCGGGGTGATGGAAAAGCGGGAGAATGGGGCGGGGGTGATGGACAGCGGGAGAACGGGGCGGGGTGATGGAAAGCGGGAGAATGGGGCGGGGTGATGGAAGGAGGGAGAATGGGGCGAGGTGATGGAAAGCGGGAGAACGGGGCGGGGTGATGCAAAGCGGGAGAATGGGGCGGGGTGATGGAAAGCGGGAGAATGGGGCGGGTTGATGGAAAGCGGGAGAATGGGGCGGGGTGATGGAAAGAGGGAGAATGGGGCGGGGTGATGGAAAGCGGGAGAATGGGGCGAGGTGATGGAATGCGGGAGAATGGGGCGGGGTGATGGAAGGAGGGAGAATGGGGCGGGGTGATGGAGTAGGGGGAACGGGGGCGGGGTGATGGAAGGAGGGAGTATGAGGCATGGTGATGGAAAGCGGGAGAATGGGGCGGGGTGATGGAAAGAGGGAGAATGGGGCGGGGTGATGGAAGGAGGGAGAATGGGGCGGGGTGATGGAATGCGGGAGAATGGTGCGGGGTGATGGAAAGAGGGAGAATGGGGCGGGGTGATGGAAAGCGGGAGAATGGGGCGAGGTGATGGAATGCGGGAGAATGGGGCGGGGTGATGGAAGGAGGGAGAATGGGGCGGAGTGATGGAAGGAGGGGGAATGGGGTGGGGTGATGGAAAGCGGGAGAATGGGGCGGGGTGATGGAAAGGCGGGAGAATGGGGCGGGGTGATGGAAAGCGGGAGGAATGGGGCGGGGTGATGGAAAGCGGGAGAATGGGGCGGGGTGATGGAAAGCGGGAGAATGGGGCGAGGTGATGGAATGCGGGAGAATGGGGCGGGGTGATGGAAGGAGGGAGAATGGGGGCGGGGTGATGGGAGTAGGGGGAATGGGGGCGCGGTGATGGAAGGAGGGAGAATGGGGCGGGGTGATGGAATGCGGGAGAATGGTGCGGGGTGATGGAAAGAGGGAGAATGGGGCGGGGTGATGGAAAGCGGGAGAATGGGGCGAGGTGATGGAATGCGGGAGAATGGGGCGGGGTGATGGAAGGAGGGAGAATGGGGCGGGGTGATGGGAGTAGGGGGAATGGGGCGGGGTGATGGAAGGAGGGAGTATGAGGCATGGTGATGGAAAGCGGGAGAATGGGGCGGGGAGATGGAAAGCGGGAGAATGGGGCGGGGTGATGGAAAGCGGGAGAATGGGGCGGGGTGATGGAAAGCGGGAGAATGGGGCGGGGTGATGGAAAGAGGGAGAATGGGGCGGGGTGATGGAAGGAGGGAGAATGGGGCGGGGTGATGGAAGGCGGGAGAATGGGTCGAGGTGATGGAAGGAGGGAGAATGGGTCGAGGTGATGGAAGGAGGGAGAATGGGGCGGGGTGATGGAAAGCGGGAGAAATGGGGCGGGGTGATGGAAAGCGGGAGAATGGGGCGGGGTGATGGAAAGCGGGAGAATGGGGCGGGGTGATGGACAGCGGGAGAATGGGGCGGGGTGATGGAAAGCGGGAGAATGGGGCGGGGTGATGGAAGGAGGGAGAATGGGGCGAGGTGATGGAAAGCGGGAGAACGGGGCGGGGTGATGCAAAGCGGGAGAATGGGGCGGGGTGATGGAAAGCGGGAGAATGGGGCGGGGGTGATGGAAAGCGGGAGAATGGGGCGGGGTGATGGAAAGAGGGAGAATGGGGCGGGGTGATGGAAAGCGGGAGAATGGGGGCGGGTGATGGAAAGCGGGGGAGAATGGGGCGGGGTGATGGACAGAGGGAGAATGGGGCGGGGTGATGGAAAGCGGGAGAATGGGGCGGGGGTGATGGAAAGCGGG